GCTGTTATTGTGGCTGCTTTTGGTGTTGTGCTAATCAAATTTATGGTATTTTAAAATAGGGGTGACATAATTGAAGAAACACCTTAGGAGTTAATATGTAGATTTTAAAGTAAAGAAATTATAATAAAAAGATCATTTGGTGTACCATCTCAATAGTCCTGCCAAATGAAAACAAGGACTTAACAGTTTTAAATTAACGAACTATAGAAAATTAGTAAAAAAGAATGTATAGAACTTGGGCTGAGGATTGAGAAGGAGAAAAGGTGAGAAATGAATGTCACTATACTTTGAGGTCTGGAAAACAGAGATAATATAGTATCCAAAATAGAAATGGAAAAAACTAAAGAGATAATATTGCTAGAAATGTGAGAAGAGATTTAACATCAGTCTTTATCCATTGGGTCTGATTTTTAATATGTACAATATATGCCTTAATAAGGTTATGTATTTAAGAATTAATGGAGATACATATATCTCCTGCAAGAATATGGATGTTTTAGTTTCCGAGTTCCACAAAGTAGTAAAATCAATACTGAAGAAAAGACTTATGAGATTAACACAAGCATTAAGCTTAAGAGCCTATTTACCTATGAAATTCAGTGGCATTCATAGAAAAGCCCCAAAGTGTCACACTTAGCTGAGTTTTAATTTATGAAAGACACACTCAAGTGAGTAAATGAAGCAAGACTTTTTGAACAGTAAAGATTTTGACCCAAATGCCAGATTTACCTTTTCTGAGTCCCATTCTCCATTAGCTAAAAAAGGGAGAATCTCTACTTCTGAGGGTTTAGTACAGAACATACTAAGTAACATATGGAGCTGTAGATGCCCAATAAATGATGGTTACTATTTCAGGTCATTCTGATAAACCTGAAAGACAAAGAAATATACTCATATCCTATCTACTTTAAAAATGTTGTAAGAGTCTTTGCACTCCTACTTATATCACACCTTAACTCCTCACAATTGGGGTCAAAAATAGCATGCGACTGTTGCTCTCAGGTTGTGAGTTTGAGCCCCATGTTGGATGTAGAGATTACTTAAAAATAAAGTCTTAAAAAATATATATATTGTAATCTTTTTTTAAAAAAAAAGATTTTATTTATTTATTTGAGAGAGAGGAAGAGAGGATGAGCAGGGGAGAGGGGACAGAGGGGAGGGAAAAGCATGTTCTCCACTAAGCAGGGAGCCCAATGAAGGGCTTGATTCCAGGACCATGAGATCATGACCTGAGCCTAAGGCAGACACTTAACCAACTGAGTCACTCAGGCACCCCTATATATTGTAATCTTAAGAAGAATTTGTCTTGGATAGGAGGTAAGTGTTGAAAAGCCTAAAATAACTCTTGGCTATTCTAGGTGTGTATTCTTAAAATCAAATTGAATCTTCAGATATATGTGTATCTATAATGAATTAAAAAACCTTCACTTTGAAAAAGTGCCAAAATTTATTTGTACATTCTATTAGCATGAGATTAAGACTTTCTAATTTGTTGGTTTATCCAAAGTGACTACATATACCCAGATAAAATTTTATGACTTGACTTTAATGGGCTAATTCATTCTATAAACTTCTTCAAGAGATTCTATTGTTAATGTGCTTAAAACAGTAAGTATATTAAAATATTCAAGTTTTTATTCCAAATCCAATTGAGACAGTTTTGCTCAAGATATTGTTAAACATAGTTTTCAAAAAGTTTCTTTTTAACACAAAGCAGTAAGAAGCTATATCATCTTAAGAAAGTTATAAGCTTATTTGGAGCTAAAATTTCAGAGACCTACTAATTTTCAAAGGTTGGCTGTCTCATTTAATAGCAGAGCAATACTTTGGATAGATGAAATTTACTGCTTGTCTTCTAAGCCAAAATGAATGGCAAATTCGTCCAATAGAGTAAAATAGAGAGCAACACATGTAATTTTCATTCAAACCCCATTGGTCATCAAAAAAGATGCTGATTTAATCAATAGAGTATTTCAAAATCTTGGTAAATAAAAATAAGAATTGATTAACTTTTTCAGAGATGTGTGAAGAGATAGTCATAAGCACTTGCTGTTGATATATACTGAGTTATTCATATGAAAGAATAGCAATCACAAAATTATGTCACTCTTCTCCCCAGCCTGCTTATTTTGTTACCATTCTGTGAAGTTTGGTTATCTTAATAACTTAAATGTTAACAAAAGAAGAGAAGCAAGTCATTTTTTATATAATATTCAAATATTTATAGTTTATTGTAAAATACATTTATAAATCAACTTGGCTATTTCTATTTTTAAATCAATGTTGATTACTCTATGTTTTTTAATCAGATATTTTCAATCCATGTGATATTAATGGAATATGTGCATTCATACCTTGGTATAATTATTCTTGTCAGAATACTATGCTAAATTGCATTTTAAATAATCTATTCAGTAATTACATGTTACAAGACAATTGTTTTGGTTAAATTGTGTTATAACACTTTAATAAAATAAAGTATAAATATATAATTTATCACTTATTTTTTATTATTTCCCATTTTTAAGGAGGCATATTAACTTTAACATAAACATTAGCACAAGTTTTTATAAATTCTCATGGTACTGCTAAAAATTTTATCTGTACCAGATTTTTATTCCATTGACCAAGTTGTAGATAAATGTTCTTCCTAACTTTGTCATTAAGACTCTGCATTGGGATAACAAATGATTTATATTCTGATTTATTTTTCATTGCCAATCACCAGGATATTTAGAGAGATACCTGTATACATGTCTGTAAATACTCCACTTTCTAGAGATGCTACCAATAATCAGACTGTAATTTTTTTTTTTTTTTTGAGAATGCCACCTCTCTCACACCAACTAGATACTAATGTAGTAATTGACCCATCCTGGTGAGTAATTCTGAAAATCTTCAAGCCTAGAAAGGGTTTAGCTCAATTCCCAGTAAAGCTAATTTTAGGTCAGACATTGTATGCCATGTAATAATCCCATATACTTTAAATAAAGTTGAACATGATTATAAATTTATACACATTTTAGGAATAAGTTAACATATATATAATCACAATCTTGCAATCTTCTGTAAATGAGTTCAAGTAAACCTGAAAAACCTCACCATAAACTTACTAAAATCTGTTCTATCAAATACAAGTTTTTGAAACACCTGAGGCATGGTGCTGGTGAATTATATAATCCTATCATTAGGTTCTTATATTATGTTCTCCATTTTATTGAACTTTCAGAAATTACCAAGAACCTCTATAAATGTTTACAATTATAATTTTTACAGATCTAACTTCAACAAAAGATAATGGTTTAAAGCTAAATCTTCCTTTTTATGAGCTTTGGTTCTGTTTCATTTCAAAAATAGAAAATAATATTTACCCCTTTCCTATCTGTTGTATGAAGACTAGAAGAAAAAAGGTATTTGTTTGACTCTTAGGAAAGTCACAAACAGCAATTGTCTATAGAATGAGGCTAGAAGTAGAATCCATATGTAATGCTTCTGTCAGCAAAGACTTAGTAGAAGAGGGTTTATAATAAATATTCACATCTGCTTCTCTGGACACTCTAATCCATCCTAAGGATCTTTGCTGTGTCAGGTTTTGTTCTAGATGAAGAAGCCCAATAGTTATAAAAGTTTGCAAATAGGCCATATTTATCATGGTTAGCTTTACTTTTATAACTTTTCTGTTTTCAAAATACTCATGATATTTTGGGGTATAATTTGTGATTAAATACTTCACTGTGACTTTTATGACAACATCATTAAAGAATTTTTACTATGAAACAGACAAATTTTATTTTCACAATATATCACCTACTTAAAATCTGTCAAGAAGGCATCATTGAAAACAATACCATGCTGGATGTGGAAAACACTACTAAAAGCCCAGGCTCTGGATCCAAAGTGACTGTGATTTAATGATACCTCTCTCCATACCTCCATATTGTGCATACCTCCTCTTGAGCAAGCTACTTCACCTTTCTAAATCTCTCTTTGTTCATCCATGTAATGAAGTTAATATTATTTTATCATTAGATCTTGTAAGGATTATATGAAATTATTCACATCAGGTACAAAATCTAGTATCTAGCATGTTGGCAGTTTAGTCAGTTTTAAATATTATTACTGGAATGATAATATGCCTTCTAAGTATGATTAGATAATTCCATGGATAGTCCTATTCTCATACTTTTTTGCCCCACATACTGACTTTATGTAAACATATTTCATTATTTTTACTTACCTCTAAATTCCCTGATAGTTTGCTACCAGACTTCTTTAATAAAAGCATTAGAATTGGATTGCTGATATGTTTTTCACTTGAAGGAAATTATTCACTAAAAATTATACAGTATAAAAATTGAGAATACTCTGTACTATATTTAGCTCTTATGTAATATAAACTTAGTTTAACAGAATTTTGAATTTTAAATTAGAGTAAAAAAACCTAAGTCATCCTTGAACTGGAGGTATTTGTCTTCACTTCAACTCCAAAAAAAGTTCATAAGTGCCATAATTTTTAAAGCATAAATGTATATTATTATAACTAAGTAAAGATTTAGCATAATTATAACAAGTCAAAGTATAATGCAAAACTTAACATGTAAATTGCCCATTATATAGGGACATAGATTTTAAACCTATGCTTTGGACATTTTTTCACAAATAATTCACTTGAAAAAGAAACCTGCATTGTTTAGTTGCTTTCCCCCTCATCTTCTCAAAATTATTTATTAATCCCAAATATAAGGAGACTAGGAGGGCATTTGATAAAGTAGGTAGGGCATTAGGCTTTACTTCCTTATTTTAAAATTTTATAATCATTGACATGTCTTAATTTTGACTGGAATTACTTCCTATACAAATGAGAGTTAGCTCATATTTAACAACTGACATCTAATATGAGTCTATTGAATTACAATTGAAACAAAACTGTGTATTCCATTGCTTAGAAACTGTGACTGCTTGAAATTAAACTTTATATTCTCTCTCTCTCTCTCTTTCAGGTCGAGTTTTAGCTCAGGCGAGTGGCAGTGGGGTTATCCATTTGCTAGATCTTAAATCAGGGCAGATTCACAAACTGATGGGCCACGAGAGTGAGGCTCACACAGTCGTGTTTTCTCATGACGGAGAGTATTTGTTTTCTGGAGATTCTGACGGCACTGTTCGAACGTGGTCTTGATGGTCAGCATATCCCACTGCGGACGGCATTCCCCTTAAGGCTTGAAAATACCTTATGTAGTCAGTCCCAAACCAGGAAATATCTGGTTAAATATGCCAGCAGGTAACATTTACAGTTTGCTTTAAAACATGCTTTGGACATGTATTTTAGTGCTCGTACTGTTACCAATAAAAAAATAACTTTTTGCTCATTTATTTGTGTCTGGGTCTTTATTTCTTTTCCATTTTGATAAGAATTTAGAGACAGAGCATCTTTGCTAGGGGTTTGAAAGAAACAGCTTTACAATGACGCCTAATGACAGACTAGATGAATTACAGGAGATTGATTTTGAATGTTAGAGAACAAACTGCAGGAGAACAGGGCTACTTTTTTTTTTTTTTAATCAAATCCAAGCTGCAGGAAGACCTGAAGTTTAATCATGTAGCATGGAGAAAGTCTTTCTGCAACCAAAGGGTCAAATAGAATCGGGGAGCATATATGTTCACAGATTCTTTGACAATGATTATGCTTTATCTATTAATAATAATCAAGACTGCAGTTGGCTTAAATCTAAATGCAATGCTCTTCCAGAACTTTCATCTCTGCAGCCCCTCTAAGAATGCATAATTACAATGTTTTGTATTTTTTATTGTAATTTCAATGTCAATAAGTATCTCGTGTGTAAAATGTCTTTCCCACTCCTAATGCATGCATCGGCTGTATAAAGTGCGACTGCCTTAGAGAACACTCTAGCCTCGTCTAAAGAAGCAGCTCCGGATTTCGACCGAGCTGGTCTCAGAAGCCAGTTGTTGGCGCTGTCCGTGGTGCTGAGGAATTCCCGGCTGCCGGCGAATGAGCTCCAAATCAGCAGTCTGCAAACTGCTCTCAGTGATGCAGAAACCCAGCTAAAGTTGCTCCTTTCCTTCACGTCCACAGTTAGTATTTTCTGGTGTGTAAGAGGGGATTCAAGCAACATATTGTGGATGATGCTGATGGTACTGCCAGCGGAGTGGGCTTTAAGCTACAGCATGCTATTGCTGTTTGTGATCCTCAGAGCCTAGCCAAATCACCTCTACTGCCGTACCAAACACTGTGTAAGTGAACTCATGTGTGGAGGAGGCGTAATCAGCCGGTAAATTTCATAGAAGGATCTGAGAAAATGCTAAAAATAAGTTCAACATGATTCTGCTACTGGGGTCTGGATTTCTACAGGACCAGCATTGCTTCTTGCTTTGAATTCTGAAGACAGGTCCAAAGCATATTTCTTATGTGTGTCTGCTGTGTTTCTCTCTGGAAGGGCGGGAGACTGCTTCTTGACTGTGTTTTGAAATGGGAGGTAGAGAGAATGGATTATCTTTAATTCATGCCTGAAAATGTGTTCTTTGGATAATTAAGAGGAACTGCTTTCCTAAAACATACCTGATCTTTTAGTTTATATTGGTCTATGACTCCCACCACCACCATTAACCTCCAGAGTGATTAGGTAAGTGTATCTTATGACATGAGTTATGTTTGTTTTCTCAAAGAAACAGATGCAGTCATTTTAAATCATATGTAGCAATATGGGGAGGGGGGGAAAGTTTAGCTGGAAAGTGATCCTCAGTTTAGCAATGTTTGCTTACTTATTAAAAATCTTCAGATAAACATTTTATTTCATTTATCTAATATTCTCTTATAGAGTGTTTTTAACTACACTAGAGCAGCTCAATTATGAAAAGGGATTTTTTAATAGCCTAAGAACTTTGTTATATTAAAAAGAAAACCTTGTTTTCTCCATGCAGATTTAAAAATGTATTTCATATAATAAAAGCATATTTAAGGTTTATATAAAGTGCACATTACACCCTTATTTTTACCTTTAAGTTTACATTTACCACAACCCACTATATTAATGCCTACCTGTAGCTTGCAAAGAGATCAATTTCTGCCTATGTCCTTTTGAAGCAGAATGATATGTGTATTTTATATGGCTTATCTTGCATGTATTGGCAGACACTACTGGAATATTATAAGGAAGCACAATAGCTTCCTTTCTTCCGAGATAAACTTTCTAAATATGTGAGAGATGTATAAATGCATGGCTTAATCAGTAAAAATATATTTATGCTTTTTTCGGAAGATTCTGTTATGTTTGTGGCCTCTGTAGTAATTTAAGAGAAAAAAATGCTTTGTCAAAGGGAGCTTCCAGCTTCTCAAGTAGAATTATAGGTTTGCATTTGTTTTTGTTCTGTCATGACTCATTATTTTTGACATATTTTAAAATAAATCTATTTCTTTTATCATTACCTACCCAAAAGGAATTCTAATATCATAGAGCAGTTTTCTCTTAAAGGAGGGAATAAATATACTACCTTCCATTTTACGATTACTTTGCATAAGATAATTTGCATATCTTACTTAAAATGCAAAAATAATAGTTGATGAAGTGTCCTTATGCCATCTTTATCTTATTTTTGAATTATCACCTGTATATGTTGTACTGAAAAGAGATGATTTATCATTACTCATTATATTCTGAAAATATACCAACAAATAACATTTTTAAATTATCTGAAAATGTCCTATATACAGTCTTAGCAATATTGGCATAAAGCCAATAGCATTTAAATAGACAAATGAACTATCTGACAACACTTTTTCTTATCTATTACTTTCTAAAGTCACAGTTTCCCCAGAGCCTTTGTATGAGTTAGTCACTCTAAACATTTAAATAAGAGCCCACTACCAATACTCCACACCAAGCACTAACACTAAATGAAGCTTATAAGAGTCAATGTCACCAAATTAATCAGGCATATTTTCTGTGAATGGCAACACCGCATTATTATTTTAAGGAATTTCAATAAACAGTTTTATATTGACATTTTTGTGCAAATTGACTAAATGCAAATATGTTTGGGATGTCAAAAGAATGGTATATTCTCAAGACAATGTGAATTGTACAGATTTTATATTGAAGTAATTAATTCAAATAGTATTCCATGAATACTAGATTCAAGTTGCCATTAAAAAAAAAATCACAGGTACATCTTTCCTGCCCACTAGGAGCTTACTTCCTGAGTAAAATAAAGTTGTGGGCAATGATACAAATAAATTTATTTTTAATAAATCCTTTTCAATATATGGAGTTCTTTTGTACTATTTATTAAATTTTTCTCTTATTCACTGTGAAATGGTTTTTCTTCCTAGCTATGTTTCAAAATCCAGATTTATGTTTTCTGAAACAAGTAACCCATTTGACACCATTGTTGTTCTCCAGTAATGGGAGTGAAGAAGTAGGAAGGCCTTTATACTAGCTCATCTCATTTATAATTTATATTCAACTATTGGTCTCTTCCCTTTCTTTTAGAAGTAGATGTTTTCTCACTAATCTCCTAGTTTTTATACAGATAATTATAGCACATACATTCTATCACTGACTAGTGATAAACAAGAGAGAATGTGAGTTCAAACATTCTTGAGCCATTTGTAACTACTTGTAAATCACCTTTTGAGGCTCAGTAAAACCACTTCTTACAATTTAAACAAAGCCAGACCTTTGAAATTCAGAAGATAAATTGGAGCTTAAGATTCCTAAGTGAAATAAAGGACAAATTTTAATGCATATATTGCCAAGAACAAACTCTCCAAACTTCATAATGAAATGTAGATAATTGCATGAACTTAGTTTATTTAAGGTCTTAGCGTCTTCCAGATAGATCCTAGATAAACAGGTTAAGAACATGGGCTTACATAAATCCATATTATCTTTATATATGTCAAATTGTTCTTTTTAAATATTTATTTTCAGCCTACCCCTCTTGTATTCCCATGGAAGGAGCTGATTATATTTAATATTAGGAGCACATCCAGAAGCCTTTGAGGAGGGGGATGGCTCTTCATATTCATGAAGCTTGCATACTTCTGTTGGTCATCCTTGGATTGGTCACCTCTGCTGCCATCAGTCATGAAGACTATCCTGCTGATGAAGGTGACCAGACCTCCAGTAATGACAATCTGATCTTTGATGACTATCGAGGGAAAGGGTGTGTGGATGACAGCGGCTTTGTATACAAGTTGGGAGAACGATTTTTCCCAGGGCATTCCAACTGTCCATGTGTCTGTGCTCTGGATGGACCTGTTTGTGATCAGCCAGAATGTCCTAAAATTCACCCAAAGTGTACTAAAGTGGAACACAATGGATGCTGTCCTGAGTGCAAAGAAGTGAAAAACTTTTGTGAATATCATGGGAAAAATTACAAAATCTTAGAGGAATTTAAGGTATGAGTTACCCTCCATATTTATTGAATACTAACTTTTCACACCACATACTTAGTAGATTACTACATTAAAATTAAAGTTGGAAAAACTTATTTTTTAAATTTCCCTTACTTTACATTATGATTCCAATTAGCCTAAGTACCACTGTGGTCAACAAATAACCAATTGGCTTGTTGATTAATATCTTTAAGTTTTCACAATAATCTCTTCCTTCAGAAGTATTTTGGGCATGCTTAACACTTTTTTTGCTCCTAATTATTTCTTCTGTATTATTACAAAATATGTTTTCTGAGGGAAATAATTTTTTGTAGGCTATGTGTTTATTTAAATTTAATGTTTAAATATTGTGAGGGTTTTTTTTTATGTGTGTGTGGCTTATTAGACTGTATTTTGAGTCATTTAACTATAGTCTAGCATTATATTTAGTGTGTGGAAATGCAAATACCACTGGGATACACCTCTGATCTGTGGTCTATATATTAAGAATATGCATTGGGCCTACTTGTTGTAGAGCACCATCCCCATTCTCTTCTCTGCTCATTAGATTTTTTTGCTTGCAGGACCCCAAAAAGAACTAAATTTTTGTCATAGTCCATTGTCAAAGATAGTAAAAAAAAGACTATTTTTCCAGCGTCCATAGTATTTCATAGTCATTCTTTTACGCCTGTGTCATATTTTTAAGTAATTTGGAGTTCATTTTTGTCTCTTTTCTCAAATGGCTAGTTTTAATTAGGATGTCCTACAAGCCAGATCTGAACCCTGAAAGTATAAATTATTATATCAAAATGTTCTCCCTGAATGTAATGGCAGTTTGTGCCTTGGAGTATCTGTCATACTGATGGCTTGATATGAAAGATTTTCATTTCATCTAACCAAGTTCTGTGAAAGATGCTCAGAACCTTATAAGCAAAAGAAGATATAGACAGTTTTCAGTGTGACTGAAAGAAGAATGTTCAGTTATTAGCACTAATCCAACTTCCTTCTTTACAATAGTCAAATGCTGGAAGAAAACAATATGTGGGAAAAAAAGGTTTAAACTGATCATGATCAGAGTATTTTATGTATTGGCATTTCATTGCATTTGGTTCATTCCAGTTTATGGGTTCAAACCAGTTGTAATCTACCCAAGAATACCCAATCACTTTAACTAGATTCCTTAGGACATGAAGGGAATTTTAATAATTATCGTATTCAACTTTCTTACACATAAATGTCATTCTAGACTTTTCTTTTTCATGTATTAGCATACTTTGTTGCACAATATTGAGAAGTAAAAGGCTTGAAAGTCTAGTAAAATTATCATTATTTATATCAAATAATAGTTAACAGTATAGTACATTTATTAACAGCTTTATGGTCTCTAAAATATTGGATATATTTTGACATTAGCTATTCTCATTTTTAGAGTAATGAAAGTAAATGCAAGTCCTCAACACAATTTGATTCTAGACATGGTTCTAGAATCATGTCACTCTCCTCTCTAACATGCATATTTATTGAGAATAGAGTGCAAAGAGACACTGTAGAATAGCCTTACCCAAGCAAAAAAGTACATTGAATAAAATTTCTGAGATTTATATAATTTGGTCATCAAATTTAATAAATAAGAGACTGATTATTTGAATTTAGTTAACTCACTACTAAAAATGCTACAGTTTTTCCTCTATTAGATTTTTATTACAAAGGTAATATCTATTTCACCATGTCAAACAGTAAGAGATATATAAAGAAAAAGTTAATACTTTGCTCTAATTATATGTCCCTGCTATAGTCAATATACCACGCATTGACATGCATAACTTTTCCACCTTTCTATGCCATGAGATTTTTAAAATGTGATTTTCAAAAAAAAGGATTGAAAGAAAACAGTTGCCACTTTTTCACAAGGATTTAGAATTATAAGAGCTATAGAGATTATCTTGGGCAAGCTCATAACAATGAAGAACCAGGTCCAAGAAAGTTTGTTACTTGTCCAAAATTGTCAGATTATTTAACCTGCCTCTAAATACTGCCATGCTAACAACCTCTAAGAGAACTTGGGCTCAGGAGTCAGATAGATATGGATTCAAATCCCAAATTTATCATGTAGATGTAATATTTTGAAAGGACTCCTTAAGTGTTTGAGCCACAGTGGCATTGGCTATAAAATGGCCATCATAATAATTACTTTTCTTGGGAGGAGATATTAGAAAGAGTTAATGAGATAATTTATGAAAAAAATAGCAGCCTTGTGATGATTGGTACACCACAGATATTGACTAAATAGTTGTTGCCTTCCTCCCAAACTCTAATGTCCAGAGATTTACACTAAGTTCACAATTCCTTTATGTCTTCACCTACATCTTAAAATGGAAGTTCATCTTTAAAAGTCACTCAATACTTTTTATAAATGTTCTACTTATCTATGTGAACTATATATAAGTAAATACCAGTCATAATATCATCTTGATTCTCTTCCAATTTAGCTTGCAAAAGATAAGTAACTAATTTCAAAAGATATATGGAACTTTCACATAATTATCTTGGCATGTTATTAAGAAGGTTTTATATATTTTTACATATAATATATTCATCCAACAAATATTTTGGGACTATTTGGTGTACAAGATACTGTAGATGTATGTACACTGGAAAATAAGATACCTAGAAGGCAAAATCTCCACTCACAAGGAAGGAAAGAACAATATAGAAAGAGAATAGAGGGAAAAAGCAGTTTAAAGTAAAGTATGTGATTGTGAAGCTCAACACTAAGGCACTGTGGTGTCAGAAGCATATCAACATGGTGTGAGATTTGGTTAAACAAACCTCCTTTTTCTTCAGCATGATCAAAGTTGAGCCTGTTCTTAAGAAAGTAATTCAGATTTATCTGGATAGATTAAAATTCCAAAGAGGAATTCTTGAGCAAGATCAGAGATTAGTATGAAATCTGCAAAGAGAGGAGGGAGATGGGGATAACAGGAAGCTGGATGTTGCTAAAAGGCTCTTATAATAAGAGAGGGGTAAATTTGTACATATGTTTTGGAGAGTAGAGAGAAGAACTTGAATACCAGGCCAAAATATTTAAATTCAGTCTAAAGAATAACAAGGGATTAAATGCAGGTTTTACATAGAGATGACCTAGTTAAATGTGTTTTTTGAACAAGATTACCTTGTAGCCAAGTGTAGAATTGAATAGAGGTGAAGAAATTAATGGCTGAGGAGGTAGGGCTGTTGCAGAAAAAAGAGAATGAGATGACCAGCATTCATGAGGATAAAAACAGGGGAGTCTTCACAATAAAAATCTAAATTCCCTACTATAGTCTCAATTCTACTCATTGACTTCTCCAAGTATCCAAACTCTTAAGTGATTTCTCTTCCCTGCATGTTTGCAATGCTGTCTTATACTTTTTCACCATCGCATACCTGTGTAAATCCTACTAGACTATTTCAAAACCCCATTTAAATCTCACCTCAACTGGAAAGCCCTATTCTATGCTGTATCCTGGGCTGGGTCTCACACCTTTCCTCTGTTCCCACAGCATGCTACACACACCATTATAAACAGGAACAGAAATCATAGCCAGATACTATCAAGACCTTTATGTGTATTACAACTTATTTCATTTCATAATAGCACTATGATGATAATACTTTAATTAGCACTGTTTTAAAGATAAGAAAACTGAAGCACCAAAGTGTAAGGTAGCTTGTCCAACATCACACAGCTCTACAGTAGAACTAGGATTCGTATCTAGGCAGCTTGACTGCAGAATCTAAGCTCTTCACCACCTCTACTGCCTTGATCACACTGCAATAACAGAATGTGAAACCACCTGTCTCTCCCACTGGACAGTGAACTCTTTGAGGCTAGGGACAGTGTTTTCTCCTGTTCCCAACCCCAGTACCATGTGAACCACATAACAGCTATTCAATACATTTTTGATGAATGACTTAATAGGTCAGATCTTAATTAAACCCACAGAATAAAAAAGCTAGAGTTCCTTTAAAATGTCTTAGTTTCTTCTTGTTTATGTGTTGATCTTTTCCTTTTAATTAAAGAAGCACTCAAAGTTCAGGCAAAGAGTATCTTTGGATCCTTAAAGATGACACATATTGCTCATTTCCATCTTGCTTTCTCCTCCTCCTCATTACCCCTTCCTAACGAAGGCTCATCTTGGATTTCATCTCCACACCAGTGTTACAATGACCACTCAGTGGGTTAAAACAGTTGCTATGTCTCCTTATATAGTTGCAAAACATATGTCCCTTAATCTTTTCTGATCACTATATTCAAATGTAAATTGATCCACATGTGTCGACTGATGGGAAGAATGTTATTTGTAAAGATTTTTTTCAACATTTACTGATTCAAGCTTTGAAAATGGATTTTTCTCTACTCTTTTTGAAAACTCTAAATTTTTCAGTGTTCTGGTAATATTGTATTAAGATAAAGGTCACTGTATAGTAGGTTCTCTCATCTTTCTTTTATATATACCCAGGCAAAATGACACTGGAACCTACTTTTTAAGACATAAGGAGCATAAATAATAAATTACAATAGCATTTACTACAAAAAAAAAAAGTTGATTGGAAACATAGACTCTATCAGCTTTGGCTTGGTAGTTAACTATCTCATGCTGTGTTTCCCAAAGGGAGAAATAATTTATTTTGCTCAGTATTTTTATAACTCTCACTCAGAAAGAATTAGCCTTTTTGGATTTTTTTAATACTTTGAAACTTAAATTGATTCAGTTTAGGTCAGACACTGAAGGTTATACTATATGCAGCTTAAAGAGCCTTTGCATAGCCTGTCACATTTTAAAGTGATTTTCTGTAGGCAACACCCAGTATCCCTAATTCAGGATTTGGGTTTGCCCACGACCTGTCTTTACTCTTGTGGGCACTGGCCTTTGTGCTTTTCCCCCTCTAAGCCAAAATAGTTGATCAGGTAGCTGATCTTTATTTTTAAAAGATTCATTGTTCTGAATCATGTGCTCATGCTACATATTTTCTATGTATGT